ATATATATTGATATATTATTAATATATTGACCATTTCTTTTTCTCTTTATTATTAATATATTGACCATTTCTTTTTCTCTCGATGCGTATGCAAAAATCTACAAGCTGTAAGTAAATCGCATTGACTTCTTAAAGAACGACTAATAGAAGCCATCACCTAAAACCCTTGTTCTCGACTCACCGAAATACCGGGAACTCAGGATCGGCCACGTTCTGCTACATCTGTTCAAACAAAAAATATAACATCGTCGATTAGATACGAGCGCTGGTCGATGGCTCCGCGGGAAAATCACTCGAACCTAACCTAACCTAACTTTTCGCGATCGTTACGACTCGGCGATTTTTCTCCGACGACTACGTCCGAATTACCGATCGCACGAGTAAGCTCAATGCAAGAGTACGAGAAATCAATAGAAACGTACCTTCGAGCCGACTCTGCTCGGCCCGAACCGAATCCTTCGGTGCAGCAGCATCCGCCCGGCCGAAATTGCTCCGAGGCACCGCATCCGCCGCCGCGGCTTCGTCGATCTGAAACGCAGAAAGCAAGTTTTCTCATTAGCTACATAAACGTCGATAAACGTCAACGCGTCGAGAATACATAGACACGAGACAGTATATTTTTCTGCTGAAACAATGAGACTAAAGAACGATGCTTACCTCCTGCAAGGTTGGAAAACGTCTTGTCCGAGACAAGAGAAAAGTTGGCAGTGTCGCCGCTGCTCAGGATGGTCCTAGCGGGGCGGCTGCGCGTACGAAAGTAATATCAGCATAACGTGACGATAATACAACGCGTCTCACGCGCATTTCGGTCGACATTTCGGCCAAATCGGAGAACCGCGCGCGACACGACTCGATCTGTTTACTCTCGCGTTAAGGACTGCGTGATGGTTAGGTTACGCGCTTGATATTATCCCCGTGATCACGTGACGCCGACACCAATAGAGTCGCGATATTTACTCGATAACGACCTCTCGCATCTGTCTCGATCTATCGAATATTAACTTTCGCCGAATTTAAAACCCCATTCATCTCCGAACCGAAACGAGCCTCAGCGATGAGATCTTTCTCTAACGACGAAGAAAAAGGAGCGCACCGTTATATCGTATACTTTTGAAAAAGAAATGTCGCGGGAGGTCGCGGAATACTTGACGAAGAGGAATAGGCAGATATACACGTTATTTTCAGGCACGGTGAGTAAAACACGACCATCAGCCATGATTCGAATGGGCAAGCAACAGCACAACAAGAACCGAGTTTGCACGAGTGTGTTGAACGCGTTCGCGCGACACGACTGGAAAAAAGAGATTAATTAAAGCTCTGCGCCAAACGTGCCGCGCTCGCGTGAGAGCAGTCGGCGCAGCTCGGAAAGGAGCAACCCTCGGCATTATCCTCGCGGACGAAGACGCGCATCCCTTACCGCGTCGATGCGCGTCGTGCGCTGTCAACGCCGGCTGTAAATATCAATAAACAAACCGTCGTGCCGGGGCAAGCGCGGCCCGCTCTCGCCCTGTTCGCCGACCGACCGACCGGCCGGCCGGCCGAGCGAAATAAAGCACGTCGAGGCCGGGTTTTAGCGCTGCTGGCCTTTGTCGGGCGCCATCTCTTACTCGACGCAACCGCGGCCGGCTTTTTCAGCGAGCAATTAGAAAGAGATTTATTTGTGCCGGCACGCTGGACGCACGCTCGCGCAGGCCAGAGGCCTGGAGGGAGTCCATGCTGATGCCTCTTGCCGCGGCATATTTTTCGGAATGATATGTAGCGCTCGCGTACAGGGTGTCTCGAATCCTAACGGCAGATCTCTCTCTCTCTCTCTCTCTCTCTCTCTCTCTCTCTCTCTGTCTGTCTCTCTCGAGGGGCTTCAAGTGGAAAGAAATTCTCCTCGAGCGTATCGGAGGGGGAGACTGAGACGCTCGCCGCGAGTGTCCAGTCTTCGATATTATTTCCGACCGGCTGAGCTGATCTTCGCGGATCTCGCGAATTTGTTAAAGTCCATTTCAGAGCGTCTCAGTCGGAGGGAATATACTCGATAATACACTCGCGGGTACACCCGAAACACTTCTCGGAAGCACTGATCCCGGAGATACCTTGTTTAGAGCAGAGATTCGTAGATTCTGGACACCTTGTATATCGTACGTATGTGTGCGTCTGTGTTGCAGTCAGAAGCGTTCATTCGTGAAACAATGTCGCGGCTGCGTTATATTTCTTTCGGTAGCTCGTGCCGTGTTTTTAATGAAGAGGCCACTGCCGAGCGTGACGACGCGTGTTCGGGCAAAACTGGAACTGTAGTTTATTTCTGATTTCCTCGCGCTTATGTATAATGCAAAAGCGTCGTGCTGTACCTACCGATTAGCCCGCACGGATTTTTAATCAGCTCTGGACACAGCAATGCCAATGTTCTGCGTTCTAGGAAAACGGACGAGAAGCGGAGCCTGTGTCGATATTGATTGAAGTCTCAAATACCACGCACGCGTCGCTTATCACAGTTAAACGTTTCTTTTTTTATTTCTCATTTGCCATACAAGCCCCGGAGAGACGTCAGTCAAAAAAAAAAGAAAACAACTAGACAGTTACTTTAATTAACGAAGCCGATTCCTTCGGCTGAGAGGGGGGATGTCGGAGGAGATCGGGGAGGGGAGGGAGATGGTCGGAAACGCAGGGAGAAAAAGCGACGCAGCATCATATAGAAACGAGTTTGTGAAAAGCAAAGTAACAGGTTCACCTAATTTCAAAAAACGCGCTTACACAGCGTTCACTCAAGTTTTCTAAGGAAAACTGCCTTCAGCAGTTTGACCAGTTATACCGATGCACACACACGCGCAAAGATTGATCGGTTAAATATCATATTAATTAAACGCGAATAATGAAGAAAAGGGAATATTTAATCATTCCTTTTTATCCGTGCTGATTTCCGCGGCGTAGAATCTCTTTGTTGTCCACTCGATAATTAATAGGCAACCGCGTACGTTGCACACACAAAGCGGTATATGATTTATGTTATAATTTACATTCTCACACTGTACGCGGATGTATTGTCCGACGGGCCCGAGAGTTACCGTGAAAGCAAGGTAATCTTTAATTATGAAAAAATATTCCTCATACCTGGTGAATAAAGGCGGGTATTCACTATCGTCATCCCGCGTCTCATTCGCAACGCGCTTGACCGACGTGGCGATGTCCGATCAGGCCTGATCGAGTACAGGTCCGGCTTGTCTATAATTCGTAAGCTCGTTAAAAAGTCATTAAGCGCCGTGTCCTATCGATAAAAAGTATTTCTCTCTGTTTTCGGCCGAGTCATCCGGCACAGCCGAAACTTTCTTTGCATCGCAACTGGAGAATCATGAAAATCATGAATATGTCGGAGCTGAGAGCGCGTATACGCGGAGATACTGAAAATAACGGATCGAACCTCTCCGCGATCCAAGGAAATTTTTTCCTCTCCAAATCGGACCGATCTATCGAAACACGTCTGTCAATGTGCTCCCCGACGTTCTTAGCGATGACGAACTTCATCGCGCGTGTGATGAATTCGCAGGCGAGATTGAACGATACGAAATGTTCGACGCTTGTCACCGAGCAAAAGAAAAGCATCGGGGCTGCTCCATCGAAGGGTAGAGAGAGACCCGACCCGAATGGAAAGGCGCGTCGCACGCACGGGTGGGATTTGTTTCATAAAACGACTTCGGCTACGTGCACGTCCACAAACATATGGCTTCGGTTCGGGCTGCCGTGCGAAACGCGAATATACCTCGCGTAATTCCTATATGCGTATACACCTAGCTCCGCGAGGCAAGGTTACGTAAGATTGAGCAGCGCGTCACGTGCATGCGGTGCATGTGTGCGATACATGGAGAGACAAAAAACACCGCATGTGCAATCCTAGCGGTCGCGCACGCGCACCGGTATCCGCGCCGCAGGACTACGAAGCTGCCGCCGCCGCCGCCGCCGCCGCTGCGGTTCTATGCATCGCGCAGAAGAGGCAAAAAAAACTGCGATTACGAAACGACGTGCGTTCTTTTTTCTTTTCCTTTTTTTTTCATCTTTGCCGCCGAGTCTAACCCGACAGTACGGAGCGATGATGCGAGGCATCAGATTAGATTGAAGCGTGCTTGCGCATCGCAGTTGCGAAGCATATTTCCATCCGCGACTGGATCGATAAGCGGTTGTCGTATCTCGGCGAAGGCTCTCTCTCTCTCTCTCTCTCTCTCTCTCTCTCTCTCTCTCTCTCTCTTGTTTTACATCATAATAATTTGAAATAGTCCGGTTCGATTATTTAAGGAAAGGATACGAATCAATACGATAAATATAGATGTGTGTATACGTGTGTATGTGTGTGTGTGTGTGTGTGTGTGTGTGATTGTTACATGACATATATAGTAATATATAATTTGCGCTGGAAACCTTGTGATTCCACACGTGTGATCAAACATCATAATATTGAAAATATGATGAGCGAGGTGCTTTATGTAAAAAAAATATGCTAATTAGAAAAACGTTTTATAACACTCTTATGATTTATTAATCTTTCGGCATATAAATATTAAAATCTTTGAAGTCGTGCGCAGGTTTAGAAATTAATTACCGTCGCGTAAATGCATATATTATGAAGGCCTTAAGAAAATAATACGGCGAGCAATCTTGAATACCCATGAAAATACAAATATAATGAATATTAATACGCATTAATAAATATTCAACATTTTATAACAAGTTCTGTCCCTTCGCCCTCTCTCTCTGTTCCTACCTCTTCTCCTTTTATACATTTATTTATAGTGTGTTTTCGTTGCCAAAGAGCCCTTCTCTATCCTTCCTTATCCACCCAATATCTTTGAAAAATTCACCACACTCTCATCATCTCAGTAAGATGAGAGAAGCGATGGCTCGCGATTCGCGAGATTAAGCCGAACTGTGTCAAGCACGTGTCGGGTATTCGTGACGCAATTATTTTGACTGTCCATGTCCACGAATACACATCTCAAATGTCGTGTGCTTTCTCGTTGCAGGTGAAGATCTGGTTTCAAAACAGAAGGAGTAAATATAAGAAGATGATGAAAGCGGCGCAGCAGGGCGGTGGTGGCGGCGGCGGGCAGCACGGCAGTCTTCTAGCAGGTGGCACCGCTCTACCTGGAGGACCATCCCCTCAGCCAGGACAACCCGGAAGTCTCATGCAAGGAGGTAAGTCCGTCACTCCAACATACCGACGAGTCAAATCGTTGCGACGTTACGAAATAATTAAGATGGGAAGTCTTCTCTCAATCCTCCGACTACTTAAGGCTTGCCTCCGCAAGCCGCGTGTTCGAGGCTTACGGACGATCGATCGGATCGTTCCCAAGATCGACCGATCTATTTTCCTGCGCTCGATCGGACGCGCATTTTTAATCGAGCGAGTGTCTACGGACGTTAATTGAATGTCACCGGCGAACGCGCGTGATGATGGCGCGGTTGACGGGGCTGCTCCATCACTTACCGCATCACCGTCGCAATCTCCGTCGGAGCGTCGTTTCCCTCCGTAATTACAATACTAATAATCCGACGCAATTTTCGCGGGCCGCATTTCCCATCTCGCGGATATCGCCCGTGTCGGCTGTCGCTAACGACGGCACCGCTCGCGCGCTCAATGCTGCTCTCTTTCTCGAACTCTTCCTGCGGCCAGCGCTAATCTACAATCTACAATCTGCCTCGCGAGTTATTTCTTCGGAAAGGCACAGCCGTGAAAGACACAGCCGACATAATTAGCTTCTTGAGAAATTTCTCTCGCTTGAGAATGCCATCCGGCGCGGCGCGACCAAATTTATCATCACGTCCACGCGAGTCCGTTACACTTCGGGGCGAGTGTTTTCACGGTATACCTTCGTGCGCACTTTCTAACAATAACATTAACATCGATAATTATAAGAATAATATTGAAATCAATAATAATAATTACAAAAGTCATATTGAGATCAATAATATTAAAATCACATTGATTCACATTCGTCCACCGTCGACGTTTCTCTAACGGCTCACTCGCACGTCCGCGAGGATGACAATGAAAGCAAACGTATTCTTCATAATGCACGAAAGGAGAATGCACTGCGCTCGAAGGAGAATAGCGTCAAGGTAATACCGAGTTTCGGCAAAGAGATAAAAATCAGAACCCTGCCAAACGGCAGTACATCACGGAAGCCTGACGTAGAGCCGGAGATGGAAGTGGATATGCGCACTCCGTTCTCTTCGCGAGCAGACCTCAACACGACTGCTCCGCCTCGCCGCCGCGCCGTCGACGCCGCGAGTCGAATCGAACGCGCGATCGTCCTGGAAACTCTTTCCCGTCCAGAGGCGGCCACCAGATGCATTAGCGCACAATGCCGCGCGCGCGCGCGCGCGGAGAGTTCCCCCGCGCGATTAATGCAATTTACGACGCCGGTCCCATTCAGGCGCACGCAGCTGCATGTGCAGTAACGCGCGCGGCTGAATGCGACGGCGGCGGCGGCGGCGGCGACGGCGGCGGCGGCGGCGGCGGCGGCGATAGCGCGCGGCGCACTCGCCGAGATCCGGAGCACTCTGAAACGGTTCTCGGTTCGCGTTGTGTTTCAGGGGGCGGAAGTTCCGTGTCGGGCAGCCCAACGACGGGTTATCTCGGCGGCATGGGCGGCGGGGGCGGCGGTCACACCCCTGGCAGCTCGAGCCCCGGAAGTGAGATGTCGCCTCAGCACAACGAAAGCCCACCGGCACCCTCCTGGCCGGGCGAGATGAAGCACCATCCGCATCCTCACGCGCCACCCCACACCCATCATCATCCGCATACGCCTGGACATCATCCACCACCACCGCCACCGCCGCCGCATCACGCGGGTTACATGCCGCAGTATTCCTGGTACCAGGCGGACCCTAATCCCGGACTACTCACGTAAGTGTTGACTCTGAGCGGACCGGCTTCGGCAGCTGGAGGGAGCGAGGGGGACGCGGAGAGATAGATCGCGTCGCGGAACTTATGAGTTGAAGGCAAATTTTTGTTTTTCTTCTTCTTGTAAAAACCCTTTTATGTAAAGTGTGTCTCGGGTGCGAGTTGCGCGCGGTAGAGAGCGGATTCCTCGACGAGGGCGGCTTCTTCGAGTCGTTTACACACATGCACAGAGCGGCGTTTGTTTTCTTTTTGTTTATTTTTTTTTTCTCACGTTCACGTGGTCGAGCGTGGTCTTCAGCGCGAGTCGTAACTTGGACAGAGCGTTGATCGGGGGAAAATCGAATATTCCCGTGCTTATAATCGCAGACATTTTCAATTTCAAGCCAAAGTGAGCCGCGCGTCAATCGGCGCGCCTCGGCGTAAACTGGTACTACCAGTCACGTGAGCCTTTGAGACGTGTTCCTCGTGTATTCCGTGCGAGAAGCAACATGACGCGACAAATTCATCTCACTCGCTTCGCCGCAATACTCTCATCGCTCTGTGATTCCGGGTTGGAGGGGGGGGGGGGAAGCGGACGGCTTCAAAGTTGCCGCGTATCTCTTTAACAATGTAATAACCGCGAGAATCGACGTAAGAATATATGAACGACGTGACGCAAGCGCGTAAAATATACCCACGCAGAACGCGCGGGCGAGTAAATTCGCCGTTTTCGACGGCGTACGATTGATTCGCGCAATCCACCGAAAAAGGAAAGAACAGAGTCCCGCCAAATCCCGCGGTCTCGTCGTCGACGACGCTCGCCGAACTGAACCGGACGTTTGTGTGCATTTTGCAGGGTATGGCCAGCAGTTTAACGAAGATGTCCATCGAACTGAGTTCAAGTGAAGCACCTCTTCGTGGCACCGCGTGGACATACCAGCGCTCCTACCCCAAAGTGTGAATACGTGTAGCGCCTCTCGCGAGGAAAAATTCAATGTTAATATTGTTTGTAATCGTCTAACGAGAAACCCGCGTGCCGGTTTCCGTGCGGGCCGTCCGTCGAAGTGAGAATTAGTACGAACAGTGCGACGTCGTAACACGCGTCTCTTAGCGAAATATTAATGATAATAATACTAACGACGAGATGCAGCGCCACGAGTGCCGATCCTGGATCGGCAACGACATCGGCGTTGCCGATGAAGCTAAGCTCAAAGCTGACGAGGAGGACCGACGCTCGAGTGCAACGCAGCCAACGTTGACTGGACGTCGACGGGAGCGCCGCCGAAAAAAAAGAAGTAGGAGTCACATAAACGATACGCTCTCTCGTCGAGTGACTGTTCTCTCACCGACAAGTGACATAACATGCATGGTTTGGTGCGCGTCGCTTCGTTGTGCCGCGGGACGTGTTCGAGCCCGGCCGTGTTTCCTACTTCCGTCCTGCGAATCGACGTCGGTTGGAAGAAGAGAATGTGACAACGCCGTCATGCCGCATGGTGAAGTAATACGTGTTGTAAAAAGAGAGAAACGATAGTGATGTCAGGTAAATCGCGGTCACGACGTAAAATTGCCGAAAGCCGACCTGTGATTGTTCGCGACGCGCATTCTTACGACGACGACGACGACGACGACGACGACGACGACGACGACGACGATGATGATGATGATGATGATGATGATGATGATGATGACGATGACGATGACGACGATCTGGTCGTACGTTGGTGATCTTGAAGTTCGATTTGTACGAATTGGAGGGTATCTGTAAAGCTACGCGTATGATTGAGTGACGTATGTCACGACTGTAACGCTTTTCGTGTTTGGCAAGTAATCGTTGTCGCAGAGGTAAGAATCGTGAGGAATCTTCTTTCGCGAGGGAATAAAACGGCTCGTCCATGCGCGTTCGTGTCGACTGTCGCGATCGCGTGCATCGGGTCTAATTTGATTACAACGGTTAATTATAAGCAAAGATTGCCTCCGAGTAATTATTTTCATTGTGAAAATGTTGTTGTCCGCCGTTCGTCAAGCGTGGAATTGTGTACCGGGGCTGCTCGCCCGGGTTAATTGTTAATCAAACGTAACACATTACGCAATATAATTATTTTCCAGAGGAAAATACCGAATCGTGTGTGACGTTGCCATCGCAATTACGTGTTACCAAAAGTAATCCGATCGTCATTATTAGGTGTTAATCGGTCGTGTCTGTACATCAGAAGCCTCAAACCCACCGCGGAGGGATTCACCGTTGTAAGAAGAGAGAACAAAAAGAAATAACATCCCGCGATCAGCCGCAATGTTCACTTCGGGGTTCCACGTTTCAGCGTTTGTGATCTGGCCAATTTTGGTATTATTCGGGAGCTGCGCTCTCTAAAGTCTTCGAGTATCAAGTTTGAGACTTCTGATCTACATTGTCGCTGTCACCTTCAGTTCGCAACTATCTTTAGAACGGATCGATCAGATCCGATGACAAAGGATTCCTGGGGAGCTATCATGGAACTATTTATATACGACTCCAACTTGAGAACGCGAGTTTTCGTCCAACGGCCACGTCCAACTGACCGCGAGTTGACTCGTGTACTCCTATCGGACTCTCACAAATCCCCGCTCAAATTGGCTCGTTGTCACACGACCAAAAAAAGCGATAACGATCTTCCGCAATCATGAGACACGAGACCAATTGTTTCTGCTTGATCGACGGTTAATCGGCGAACATCGACGTCTCTTGGTTTTCCCGGCAGCTAATTCGGCCGCAGGCAGGAAAGAGCACAAGCGCATGGATTTGTGCCGAGGGCGCATCCCCTTTGAGCGTCCAACCAACTCGTATCACTTGCAGACATTGAGTTTGAGCCGCGGGAGTTTCACAGCAAACGCAAAATTCTCCCGCTCGAGAAAGTCTTTCGGAATAGTTCCATGTTAACTTCCTCGCCCGGTTGATCTCAAATCGAACCACGGATTCTCTCTCGGTTCTACATCGGTGTTGACGAATAAAGTATTTACTAGTGTGACAAATAAAAAATTATTTTCTGTCCTACATCTGGACGAGACGAAATGTTTGAACAACAACTCGCACAACTCCCAAAACTACTTCTTCTCCCAAGCTTGCAACGAGTCGGCGAGAATCGACGAGAGCGCCGGCGTGCGACGCGGCGTGCCGGCAAAAATCCCCGACCGTCGGAGGAATGTAGAAAGTCGCAACCTGAAAATAACGCGAAGGGAGCGCGGATCAAGTTTGAGACCATTGGCCTACATCCGGTACCGTCTGTGCGCCCCGTAAATGCTGCCCCCCGAACAAACTTAACAAACCCTGGGCGAACAATGAGACCAGGTCGGGATCCTTTCCAGTGCGGCTCGATCGAGCGATATTTTCGTCACCTTTCTGAAGCAGGCCAGTTCGGCACGATCGTGCATCTCTAAAAACCAATTTCCATCTCCTCGCAAATGTCAATTGCTGATGACGTCAGGCCGGTCGATTCTTTGTGACAGTTACCCAACAGCCGCGAGTGCAGCCGACCTACTTCGTGCGCGGGCTGGATCTCGCGTGATAGACAGAGAGGGACGACAGGATCGGCGAAGTTGCGCGGAACGGCAGACGGGCGGGCTGAAGACGGGGGAGGGGAAGGGGGGAAACAACGTTGCATAAACTCGTTGAGCAGTCGTTCCTCAAGGCGGTTGGAAGTAATGAAATCCTAATGACATTTTCGTGAGTCAAACGATCTCGGCAATCACGGTGGCTCGCTGTAATCACCGGTCCCTCCTTCCCGGATGAGGCAACCGGCCGGGGGCCTCCTCCGAAGAGGAGAGGAGCACGCGAGAGATGAACGGAGGAACGACAGCTCGAGGGACGAACTCCGCTGAAGAAAAAAATCATTATCTCGACCGGGGCGACGCGCGGGACGCTGCCGAGGCCTGAGTTCATTAAGAACTTCGGGAACACAAAGAGAAGACACGCTTGGATTTCGACACCGATCGCTTGTCCACGTATTGCAATACGCAGCCCCTCTTTAATTGCCATCACTTTCGATGTATATTTTATCTTATAACGAGTCGAAAATTTTTGTGTCAAGAAAATAGTTTCAAAAATATTTATTTATTTATAGACCTTCGCGCTCGAAATACCAAAAGCGTAATTTTGTTAAATAGAAATTTTGCGAGGGATATAGCTTGTCGCTAATATATATATATATATATATATATTATATATATTATATATATTATTATATATATATATATAACGTACAAACTCTATAGACAAAGAAATCCCGATAAATTAATAAAATAAATTTAATAGAAGCCCATTTGTGTGCCGCTGCTGCGGAAAGGCAACCTCCTGCTGAATGGCAACAGAATTCGTGATCTTTTCTAAATAGCGGTTATCTTTTTTCCCCGCCGCTGCTGCAATCCAACGTCACGCTACAAGCTGGTCAAGTCGCGGCTGAACGAAGCGCGGTGGACTGTTTTACGCTGTTTCTTCTTTTGCTATTCTTCGTCGGCCATATTGGGTCACCCTTGCCATCTTGCGTCGCGCAATATCTAGCTTTCCAAGAGACGACGCCAAACCGCAAAAAACAGCGGCTGCGGCTTGCGACCGCGGGAAACTGGGAGGGTCGGCGGGCCCCACCGCTGACCCAGATCCACTGTCTCGTCGGTGCAACAATGGTCGTCGTCTCATGAGAACGCGTAGTCCCGCAGGCTCCCTTTCCTTCCTGATTCCGCCTTTTCCTCCGCTCTGATTGACGTTACCGTTCGGCACACGTACGCCGAAGCCGGCAGGCCTCGTGTTCTCGCGCACATCCCGATCTGAATGATTTTCCCGTTTCGGAGTACCTCTCTGGAACGTTTCTGGAACATACGCAATTATTGCTGGAGAATCCTCCAATCGCGCAAGGACTCGCGACGCTACGACTTTGCTTTGAAGTTTCTACCGCGGCCGCGAAACAAATCTCAAACGAAACAAGGAGGATATCCGCGATATCGGAGACGTACGGCTTTCCGGATAGCCTCTCTCGAGTGAATCGGTGAAGTCGAGAAACGATCGAGATAGTATGCGAGATCTCACGCAATGCACCCGCGATTCCGCCGCTTTCCTCCCTGATTCCGCAGGAATCGCCGAAGACGAAGAATTCAGCAGCGCGCGCGCAGAGTCCGCGGCGCGGGAACTCGCGCGGCGAATCAGGCTGCTGACGGGCTGATCACACCCCGTGGTGCACACACAAAGAGGACAGTACAAAACTAGCTTTAGCTAAAAAAAAAGAAACTGCCCTTCCGCTCGCGCGTGTCGGCCGCGCTTGCCGTTGAGCGCTCGAGTACGCGATCATTACGTCACGTGAGAGTTCGCGTAGAGCCTCGCGGCGGAAAAAGGAAGCCGAGCTGGAAGGTAGGCGCTACGTTCCGGGGATCGATGTCGCTGCGACGCTGAGAATTCCTACGTCGTGACGCTCCGTGTCGTCGTCGTTGTCATCATCGTCGGGACGCGCACGCGAGGGACGCGTCGACGATGACGGCGACGGCGACTCGTGTTCCCCCGTGTATAATAATAAGTGCCGTTAGATTTAACCGCAAACCGCGCTGTGTGGAGAACTAGGAGGCACGGGACGGCCTTCTCGGAAGGGTTCTTGCGTTTTGATTCGGTGCAATAAGAAGGCGTGTGCGTGTATAATTTAAGACGAAACACCCCTCAGTTCCTAAATTTCGTGTAAAGCCGAGGATGCGAAAAACAGCGTAAAACAATTGAGCATGGTCGACGTGGCGCGGCGCGCGTCTTCGATTGTTATTATCGAGACTGTCAATGAGTCCCCCCAGTCAAGTTGCCGTCGCACACACACGGAGGAAAGAGAGAGAGAGAGAGAGAGAGAGAGAGAGAGCTCTTTGCGCCGGAAACTCAGCTGTTAATTTTCATTAATTATGTTTGACGACGCTACAGTAATTGCTCATGCTACAGAGAACAAGAAAAGAAACGAAATATCGTCGAGAGGCAAATTTGTATGTTTCTCGATGAGAGGGTTCGATGTTGCTTGCAGTTTCCAACAGATAGATAAATGGCATTAACTTCTGCGACACGTCGGTCCGACAGCATTGATGAGATACAAATGTGCAAAGCAACGTGCGACGCGGCGCGTCCCACCTTTACCACGCTTTCATCGAATACGCAGACTATGACAACACCGCGCGCGAGGACGAATGTGAACTTAACGCAACCGAAAGGAAGAGCGTGTATGTGCGTGTACATGTGTGTGTGTATGTGTGTGTGTGTGTGTGTGTGTGTGTGTGTGTGTGTGTGTGTGTGTGTGTGTGTGTGTGTGTGTGTGTGTGTGTGTGTGTGCGCGCGTGCGTGTGCATGTGTGTGCGTGTGTGTGTCTGTGTACGTTGTGTTTGTGCGTGAGCGAGAGAGAGAGAGAGAAAGAGAGAGAGAGAGAGAGAGAGAGAGAGAGAGAGAGAGAGAGAGAGAGAGAGAGAGAGAGAGAGAGAACGAGAAACGGCAAAAAGCGTAAAAAGTGTCCGTAGAATTTACTAGTGTTACTAGTCTCGGTGCAAGTCACCGGAGATCGATCGAATTCGTCGAGTAAGCTAAAGAGATCGATCCCCGAACGCCTGTACATATTGCACTGGGGCCCTCTAGCGTGTAAGTGAATCTGTGTAAAATACGATATTGTGATAAGAATGTAAAGAGAGATACGAGGACGAGAGACAGATAAAACACAAGAGAGAGGCCTAGAAAATCGTCTATATACATATAGGATGTATACACGGCAGACCCCGATTTAACGATTTTACCCAGTACCCTTGTACGGATATAGAATATTACGAGAACTAAAATACCTTAATTATGATTACTATTGTATAAAATATAAATAATAACTAATTAATTCAATTTAAAATATCGCCTTGTGGTATATATATCGCTTGTATGCACGCCCCTGTCCCCGACATCCTTCGTCCACTTCCGAAGAATCTTCTTGCGACCGTGAATAATTCCATTCCGGAGCGGATCGTTGGATCGGAAAAGGAAAACAGAAGGGAAAAAGAGAAACAAAAAGTGACAGTCGGATCGAAGCGCGCTTCTTGCGACCGCGCGAGAAGGAGCGATCGCTGATTATAACGTGAGTGAATTCATCGTGTATATCTTCCTTGAATCGCCGCATTTTTATGTAATCTACGGACACGTTGATCTCAATTATTCAGTTGTTTCTCAGTGAACGGGTGCTCTCTCGCGCGCTGTCCCGACGAATGACGGTGTACCGACGGTCTTTCTGCTCCTTCTCTCTTTGTTCAGCGACAGCCACCTGCCGCTCTAAAGCCAGCGTACGCATGCTCTACTTTTATGGATAACTGTACTCCTATCTTGCTCAAAGCGAAGGCACAGGTTGTATCCTGCATCATCTCATGGGCCTCTACTTGACGTCTTGGAGAAAACATCTCGCTTCGAAGCGGAAACAACCGCGTGTGTCATGCGATTTTGTCATGAGATCTTTTCTAATTAGAAAAGAAAAAAAAAGAAAAAAAGCACTTCTTTTCTTTCTCCTAATGTTTTCTGTATATTTCTCTTCCAACATCTTTCTCCCTCCTTCTCGACAGAAAAGAAAAATGATATTTGAGCAAAAGCGAGACGTTATAGCGAGTGAAGCTCAGTTTAATGAAACTATCTTAAGCTCATGCAGGAGTCAAGAAATGTTAAATAAAGACGGCTTCGCTTCTCCGAGACAATTTTCCAGTCTTCCCGTTTCGAGATCCGTCACTCGTCACGCGCGACTAGATCTGTTCGTCTGTGCGAGACTGTGCGGCAGAAAAAGGTACGCCCCGGATGAATACCCGTGGGGCCTTGTGGGCCAGTGGGCTCCAAACGTGGTTTCCAAACGTAAACTTATACTTATATATAAAGAAAAGAAAGAAGGGGAGAGAAAGAGATGGAGGCCAGCTCGGTATGACAATGCGAGAGGAGTCTCGCGGGACTCCTCGGGAAGCCTCGTGGTGAAAGAGAGAGGATGAGCAGACAAAAACGTATAATGGACACAATGCTCGATAAAGCTCCCTCGAGTTCTCGCTGGCGCCTGCACTCGACCCGGCGAGTTTTCGAAAAGATTACGTCGAGTGGATGTTTATTTGCTTTCGGCTACCCAGAAGAAGACGAGGCGTCATCGACGTCTGATTCGACTCATCGCAGTCGCGAGGATCGATTTCTTGCTTCAATTTGTCCGTGCTTGATATGTGCCGACAGAGAAAATGTAAATGTATTGGGTGAGTGCAAAAGTTCGTGCGGAGTTTGTGAGCAAAAGTCACACAGTGATTAGGCAAACAAAAATCTTTATTCAATCAATGATATATTCTCCATCGTTTTCTATAATCTTTTCCCAACGTTCTGGCAGCATACGGATGCCTCGATCATAAAAACTGCGCGGTTTAGATTCGAAGAACGAAGAGACGCCGTTTTTTAAGACCTCCAAAGAGTCAAAGTTTTTTCCATTTAAATAATTTTGCAATGACCGGAACAAGTGATAGTCAGATGGTGCGATATCAGGAGAATACGGTGGATGCGTTAAGACATCTCATTTCAAGCTCTTCAGTTTGCGCAGCGTCTTTTTCGAAACGTGTGGCGTTGTCGTGATGAAAGACGACTCCCTTGCGATTTGACAAAATCGGACGTTTCTCTTTTATTTCTCGATTCAGATTGGTTAATTGGCGACAGTACTTGTCCGAATCAATCGTTTCGCCAGCGGGGAGAAGCTCGAAATAGATTATGCCCTTGCAATCCCACCAAACAGAGAGCATCACCTTCATCGGGTGCAAACTGGCCTTTGGCATTGCGTCACCATGCAAAGCGGTTGATCGGTCAACGTTTAGTGCTGTAGCAACTTCTTCTGTTGAAATTCGCGGATTATTGAGCACTAAAGTACGCAAAACATCGTCATCAATGTCAGAAGGTCGACCAGAGCGTGGCTCGTCTTCAAGGTTAAATTCTCCGCGCCGAAATTTAGCAAACCATTTTTCCACAGTTCGTTTAGCTGGTGCTTCATCCTGATAAACATCCTGAATGTTTTTTACGGCTGCGGCAACGTTTATTCCCTTCCGAAACTCATAAAGCATAACATGCCGTAAATGCACCTTATCGATACTCATTTTTAAAGTGATATTTCTCGAAGCAGTTTGTATGAAAACAAATGATTTTTT